GCCTACGCGTCCCAGACTCCGATGCCGAAGTCCAGGGCCTGTACATGCAGGTCGCGACGCCGGGTGCGGGTGCGCCCTCTGCCGACGACGAAGAGGAATGCCTCACAATGACAGTGGTGCTGCCCGCCGACGCCGCGCTAGCAGAGCCTGTGGAGCGGGAGACAGATACACCCACGCAGCAGCTCTACGACGCTGTCTCAGCGTGCTCCAACTTACACCCGGATCCTCTTGACCAGGGCGACGAGGATGACGGGGATGGGCCTCGGTTCGTTTCGGCGGAGGAGCACGATGGTGTCTTCCAGCTTGGAAATGGTGGTTTGCCCCCGCCTGTTGATGGCAGCTCTGGGTGGATCACTGCGGACAATATGGATCAGTTCTTTGATGCGGACGGGAATTGGATTGCTGCTGGTGAGCCGCCTTCTTTCCCGCTTGGGCCTGGCGCTGGGACTGTTCGGGCTCGGGAGGGTGAGAATGGAGTCGAAGAGAATGGTGTTGAGGATGAGACAAAGTGGCGCAAGACGGATTGATTGTGATCAGGATGCTTTAAGGATGATATGAGATACCGCAGGATTGGCGTTCAAATTACTTTCGTTACATAGTAAGCTACCAATGGATCATTTACTAAGGGCTATTATTCCAAGGAAACATACGTACATAGAGAAGGGTTGGATTGGATTTCTACTAATGATTTCGTCTTTCTTTCATGAATATTAACCTCATAAAACACACACCAAACATAAAGACAGAAGAAAAGGACAGAACATGAGGCGACAAGCGAAATAAGAAGTAATAGAACAAATAAAAACAGGTAGAAGAAAATGACCCCGAAGCTTTTGTGCTAGTATCAGATACTGCACAGTAAAAAGAAATCAAAACAAATCAAAAGAAAACTGTCGCTTTCAAAGTCCACAAAAGACAGCATGATTAATCTATTCCCGTAGGAATCCGTCGCCATCGTAAAGGCTAGCAGGTGTGGCAGTTCCAATTCCCAGTCCGAGCCCTTTACCAGTTGGAGTAGTCATGCCTCGGCGGGGAGAAGTAGGAGTGGGCGGTGTATGGTGGCTCGACATATGAGGCGGTAGTTGTTGGTTGGTTGGCATGGAACGGGGTGCACCGTTCTTGCCACGGGTAGGGGAGGAGTCAGGCGTGCGGAACGACCCAATTGGGGGCTGCATGGAGGTTCGAGGATAGGAGGTGGGCTGGTTAGAATCCTCAAAGATAGTGACGTGGTCTTGGACCATTGAGGACCGGCGGGGGCTGTAGAATGGAGAAGCACCGATGGGACCCAGCCCGTCATCCAGGCGAGATATTGAAGCACGATCTTGGCGGAATGAGCGATCTGGAGAACCGGTGCTCATGCGTTGGTGTGAGTCTGTGGATCTGCGCCAGTCACTACCTTCTGTTCCTGTGATACTCATGACGAAAGGGAGGCGGCTGGGAGAGGCCAAGGGACTGTCTAGCGTATGATGGGAGGATGCTAAGGAAATGCAAGTTGACTGCCTTCGAGCTGGACTGACGCCGGGTTGGTTGCGAGGCCCCTTTACTGCTGACCGTCGTGGGCTGCCGATGCCGAGGGAGTTTTCGTGGTATGGCTCGGGGAGCTCCCATACAGGGGGCACTCTTTCGGGAGAGGGAGTATTGGTGAGAGAGGTGCCGTGAGACAAAGGGAGAGAGGTGAACAGTTCAGGGAGAGCGCGATGGTTTGTGAATGGAGGCTTATTGGCCATGGCAGATGAAACACGGTTTCTCTTCTTGCAAGGACTGTCGTCGTACATTGGAGGCTGCGGCTCCTCGACTAGTGGCCCGAGGGAGCCCAGACTGGGCTTGCCATGTCGACTGCCGTACTTGCTGCGCCTTGAAGAGGACAGAGGGGACGCTGCACTTGGTGGCAACGAATGCAAGGGTTTTGTTGGGGTGTTGATTGAGATCTCACGGAGATCCAGCTCCTCCATCTTGTCGAAATCTTCTGGTTCCTCTTTGACAGTAGGAGAGAACGTCGATGACCCAAATGTCATGGGTGGATGGATAGAGATACGGACACAGTTTTGACGTCGGTGACCTTTGCGTTGTGGATTTCCACCCTTGAGTGCAGAGGGAAGATTGCCCTTTAGAGAGAGACTGGTACGCTGCATCGGGCTTGGTGGCTTGGTGTTGGCTGAGTTGCCTGGTGATCTCACCTGATGGAACAGAGTCCCACCCCCGGGCGAGCCAACGTAGAAGGGGTCATTATCCATTTCGAAATTATCGTAGCCGATGCTGTTTCGGAACTGATTGCCATGTGGGACAGAGGATATGTGGGAGCCCGATGATCGCCAGGACGAGACTGAATTTTGATGTCCCAAACGCCCAACCGTCCCAGACCGCAAGGAGGCATGTCTTGAAGGGGGATTAAATGAAGACATGGAGTCAGTCCGACGTGGAGCACCACCAAAACGATCGATGGAGGCGCCCGAGTGGTGAGTCGTCAAACTTCGTCGAGGTGACGGGCACGCAGATTTATGGCGAGGTTCAGTTGTCGAAGAAGAGCGGATAGGGAAGTTGTGCATAGGCGGGATAGAGGTGTTTGTGGCAATAAAGCTCCTCCGACCATCCTTAACTCCAACGTCGGCAGCACTGAAAGGTACAAACGTGCCAGAGGGCAAGACGGGTGAGGTCTGATCGGTGTCAGCCGACCTAGAACCAGTTCTACCGTCATCCAAAATTGAGCTATTGGTGGTATCCAGACTCATAGAGGAAAGTCTCATCACAGAGTCATTCCTAGCGTAGCTGAATCTGTCTGGAGGGTATGCAGTTGGTGGAGGAGGTACCGGGTGACCAGGCATCATCCCGGCAGTTTGACTAGCAATACTTCCCCCGCGAATACGACTAGGAGAATCTTCAATGGTGGTTGAATCAAACATGCCAGACGAGTTACGGTCTTCTGAAACAGGAAATAGACCTGATCGCTCTCGTACTGGAGGGGGTTTCACACCTAGATGGAACCCAGCTTCATCCTCGTTGAGATCTGGCGTTTGGGTTGGGGTTCTTTCTGCTGGTAACTCCAGAATCCCCTCGACCGCCGAAAGTGGGACGTCTTCTTTCGATATTGATATTGATGCTTTAGGTGGTGGGCTCGGAAGATCGTTCGATTCACTCAATGTGGCCAACGAGCTCATGCATTTGTGAGACAATCGTGATAGGCGCTTGGAACGAGATCGAGAAAGGGAATTGCGGAAAGATCGTGCTTTCTCGGTGACCGGCAAAGAAGATTCCGAGTCATTTTTCAGACGAAGCAAACTTTCTCTCGACGTTAATTGTCCCCATTCCGACGGTTTACCATATGGAAGCTGCCCATGTGCCCTTAAGACGCTTCCCTCTGCCCGGCTCAGTTCAGTCAAGGTATCCACCTGGCAAGATTGCAAGCGACTTCGTGGTCTCTGCGTAAAGCTCACCAGTCGTATTGCATGGCGCTCCTTGCGATACCTGACCCAGACAACAACGCTGACCACTGAGACGGCAATGAAGACGGCCGCACTACAAGCGGCTATCGCGATGACGGCTGGCAGCGCCAGCATGCTCGCCTGCTAGAGTGTAACTGGGCTGATTCCGAGGCTGTATGGACACAATTAGGGGATGTGGTCTTTTGAATTCCTCATCCGTGAGTAGCGGATTGGTCGTCAACATGCGATGTCGCGAAGTATCGCTATATCAAAACGGCCACAACGAAACTTCACAGACTCCTCATGGAACACAACAAAGTCTCACAGGAATAAGAAACAACGAAGTTTACTGGCATTCCATCAAGGGAGCGCCAATTGTTATGGGAACATTGATTCTAGCCGAGGAATGCTAATTCATCACCACCCGATGCAAAGAATGTTGGCGGCCACACTACCCCCTTCGACCATGTTTCAACATGGACAGCGCCACGAACATAATCATGCCAGTAGGCCATTGGCACATCTGAGGATCAGTATTTCGTGGTGGGAAATGTATTTCTAATGCCGTCAACCCCGGTTTATACTTGACAAGAACTTATCGCTCTTCCAAGTACCCTCTTCCTACCTTTTCTTTGACATCTCTGTTCGATGGAATCCAGGGTGCCTTTTCAGACATATTTGTAATAACTACGGAGTAGATAAATGGCTCACGCACCCATGAAAGTGTTCAACCATGACGCGTTCCACTGGTCGCCTTTGACGATATTTACGACCAACCAACAATATCAGTGCACCCTTGGTCAACGCTATTATTGTTCGGATAAGTGATCCATTTTGATTCCGACCGAGTGGCTTCGGCAGTCCCGGATTATATATATTAATAGTATACCGGTAGGATTGTCGAGTGATCATGCATTGGATAATCACCCTGTGGACAAATGGCCAGGTTCAGTTGGTTCCTACTGATAGCAGTGCTTCGAATCTTCGCAGTTTCCAATCATTGCCAGAAAAGCCAGTTCAAGCACCTGTACTCCGTGCTGCCGTCCGCGATCGGGAGTCGGAATGGAGGACCTCGGCATCTTGGCCATTCCCTAGAAGAAGGGTCAAGTCAGTAATAGTTAGGAGATTGATCTTCTATAGCTGGAACGATAGGTTTCGATGCGATTCCAATTGTATATCTCTAGGGGAAGTGCAGAGTGGAGATTCCACGTCGCATTTCCCCGCCGGATATGCCCAGGTTGGAATAGCCTCTCCAATCTTTAATAGACCTGACCGTGTCGAACAGGTCTACTTAACAGCAGAGAATTATGATAGATCCCATGATACCCTGTCAATGACGACTCTGAATAGTTTCTTTATCCACTATGTACAGGAACTAGCGCCATTAAGGCACAATGCGAGGATCCCCACCAAGGTCTATACATAGTAGTGAGTAGCCCCGCCAGCACGTCGCTCACCGTGTATCAGTTAGAGATTCCTTGATTTGCCCCTCACAGGCTCTCTATTTAAGTGCTCCCCCGAGCTTGCTATTTTCCCCTTCCCTTTTCTCATCTTCTCTCTATCTACTCTTCGTTTGCTACAATGGCTGCTAACCCTGTGACCAAAAATGGACTCTTTGTCCACAACAATACCACTGCTCCTGAGCATCCCAACCTCATGAGCATGTTCTCCCTCAAGGGAAAGACTGCCATTGTTACCGGTGCTGGCGCTGGTATCGGTTTAGCCGTTGCTCAGGGTCTAGCCGAGGCCGGTGCCAATGTGGCCCTGTGGTATAATAGCAACCCTAAGTGCATTGAAAGGGCTGCCGAGATCGCCGAGCAGTACGGTGTTCAGAGTGCGTAGAATTCCGCAATGTGATTGGTTTTATATCATTCTAACAAGATTAATTTTGCAGCCAAGGCTTATCAGGTTCAGGTTACCGACGCAAAGGCTGTGGAGAACGCCGTGAACGACGTTGTCAAGGAATTCAATGGCCGTCTCGACGTTTTTATTGCTAACGCCGGTATTCCATGGACTCAGGGCCCCATGGTCGACGGTCCCCTCACCCACTACCGCGATGTAATCTCCACTGATCTCGACGGTACTTTTTACTGTGCCAGGGCCGCCGCTGAGCACTGGCGCCGCCAGAAGGAAGAAGGAACCGATGCCAACGGTAACAAACTCACCAACTTCACATACGGCAGCTTCGTTGCTACTGCCTCTATGAGCGGTCATATCGTCAACTTCCCCCAGATGCAGGCCGCCTACAACGCCGCTAAGGTTGCGGTCATTCATCTTTGTAAGTTGTTATTCAGACTCCATGAGCTCCATCGCTCTACTAACGCCTTCCTAGGCAAATCTCTTGCTGTCGAATGGGTCCGCTTTGCTCGCGCAAACTCCGTATCCCCCGGTTACATTGCGACTGAGATCTCCAACTTTGTGGCCGAAGACACCAAGAATATCTGGCGCGATAAGATCCCGATGGGCCGTGAGGGCCAAGCGCAGGAACTGAAGGGTGCCTACCTCTACCTTGCCTCCGATGCTTCCAGCTACACCACCGGTGCCGATATTATCGTTGATGGGGGCTACTGCGCACCTTAAACCTGAATTAAAAAGCAGGATCTTTCGTATAGAGCGTGGATTTTGGACAGCAATTTGATTTGAATGTGATGATAGACGAACGTAACGATGAACAGTTTAGATGGACGAGTCTGAATCAAAATATTTCATTTGCAACAGCCCTTCTTCATCATGTCCAGAATGACTCGCCCGGTAAAATGGTGCCAGCGATGCCAGATCCCGACGGAAGCATTTACCCATCACCGGCACGACCAGTCCATTTCTGCTTGTGCGCGATTGCCGAGCCAATGATGCTATGAGACTATGCCGTCCTTGTGGGAATAATGGCCCAATCCCTGCGTGGCGTTGATTAACCCCGCCAATGTCATCTGGAATGTAGGGCTGTTAAGTTCGCTTGAAAATTAAAAATATCATTTCAATTTCAATTTCAACGCTAAAATATTATTTCATTTCAAAATGGGTGTATGCCTCAGGCGTAGACCTACTCTTAGTAATCCACCAATTAGATACCTTGAATTTTCAGAGAGCCAATAAGATTATCATAGCTTACTCTAAGCCTAATTAGGCCGAATACAGGCTCTTACCTATACTGCCTAGTATTCTTCTCAGACTACGTAGAGTGCTATAGCATAGGTCAAAAATATATTTCTGGTAATCTAGGTAAGAAAATGCTCCCTGTAGCCCCTATATCTAGCCACCCCGTCCTGCTTTAGGTACTCTTGTACAAGGCCGAACTATACGCCGACGACGTCTAATTATCCTACCCTATATCTCTAGAAGACTTACAGTCGAAGAGTCGCTCTAAGTACCACTATCGCTAGCACTACTATCGCCAGTACTACTATCGCCAGTACCACTACTACTAGTACCGTCGGTACTACTAGTAGGACTATAGGAACCATCATTATTATCATTACTCTAGTCGTTACTCTCGCTATCTTAATGGTTTGGCGGGTTTGTAAAGGGACCGTATCGCTGTACATAAGGACTAGCCTCTGAATGATCTATAGGGCGGCGTACGCGGTAGAATTTCCTTCCCTATTATTGCCTAAAGTAGGCATTACGGCTAGCGATACCTTTAAGTTAGTCATAGAACCAGCCTACTAAGGTATGGTCACCTCCACAGCCAGGCTCAAGCGCGAAACGCAGTCGACACCGTAGGATCAGATAGACCGGTTTGATAAGGAGTAGATTATCAGAAATCGCTTCTTCTAGGACGTGACTTCTCTCGAGCCTTAGACTGAAAGCCTCAGTCTAGGAAATAAGCTTTCTGACTCTGAGTCTACTAGTGGGAGTAGGTATATTATAATGAGTGTAAAGCGTCCTCACGACTTATATAACTAAAAATTTACTGCCAGTTTTTCTGCCGTTTTTTTCTGCCTATATTACAAAACATTACCAATATATTACTAGCGCCTTGGCGTGAAACAATTGAAAATATATTTTTAATTTTCATGAAAATTAAAAATATGTTTTCAATTCAAGATTTTGAAATTCAATTTAACAGCCCTACTGGAATGCGCTCTACCCCCGCGTGACAGGGCTCATACAACATAGACCGATGTGACTGAGTCGGTTGCTCTGAGCAAAACACCTACGACCTACGAAATAAACATGAATGTAACGTAACTATCGCCAGGGGTAAAATGACCCTTCTTTTTTAAACATCAACTTGAATTAAGACACAGGAAAGTAGTACCATCGCTCCGCTCATCATGCGCTCGGACATTCCGCCAAGCCTTTGAATCCTGTACGGAGTATCCGTCCTGCAAAGCCTCATATGCCCCCTAGCTGGGTTATTCGTCAAGCTCGGGAGTAACATAGGCAAAAATTCCCTGGGATGTCCATTCAACAACCTCATCCAACCAAACCACCGGTCCCCCTTGTTCCGGGTGCTCAACGTTAAAATAGGGACGTTCGACTTGGAATTCCCAGATGGGGATATCGTCGACTGGGTCGTGTTCGTCATCGGAGTCGGACCAGTCAGAGCCATACTCGTCGGAGTCATACCCATACTCGTCGGACCCATACTCGTCGGCAGATCCGGGGGGTGGACTGCCCGTAGAGAACTGGGCTCTATCCGCAAAGTTGGGGTGTTGCGGACGGTTTGAGTGTCTCAAACTGGGACTGCCACTTTCAGTTTCGTCATCGCTTTCTGCCATCCTATTGGCTGTGTCGAGAGCATTGTTTTCGCCGGGTCGATGATGGTTGCGTGCTGGAGTCGCCAGGGAAGGATGTTGTTCGTCTTCGTCGTTGGGATCGGGGTTGATTGGCTCGTACTCTGCCAAGGGTATGCGGTCTTGGTCTTGATTGACACGATTACGGTTGAAGAGATTGCGTGCAATACATTGGTACACAGGGAGGACGATGCGACGATGGCAGGCACCTAGGTGCTGCATGATCGAAGCATTGTAGACGGCAACGACGAACAGGAATGAGAGAGTCAGGCAAATCGCCGGAAAGGCAAGAGAAGCCTCTGCCATGATGACTTTGTTGATTGCAGATGTCCGTAGGGCCGAACAGACGATATGGAAGATGAAAAATGCATGTGGATTTGGGGAAGAAAAAGGGAAGAAGCACCGCGCGACGAAGGTCATCAAAATCGACATTTAACAACTACTGTGAATTGATGAACAATAGGCTGATGGGATTTTCAAACTGGCAGACAATATCTAGATATATTCAGTAGCAAGAGTTAACTATTTTCATTAGTTGCGTCTACTCTTGCATCTGCTTATCTATACAAACTGATATCAATAAGCAATAAGATGGCAAATCCTTATACTCGATCACTGACATCGACATAGCGGTATCCAAGTTACATTGCAAAATTATCATAGGGCAAACTTCTAGTTTCACAAGTATTACTTGACCCGATGATCTCCTAGTCACAATATTTATTCACGATGCCCAGTCACGCCGCAGCTTAATTGGCGACTTCCCCATATGACCTTGTACGCCCACACGTCATAAGCATATTGGAAGGAATCATATTGGAAGGAATCATATTTAGGAAGGATGCTACGGCTCTCCTATCGACGTTAGCTCAAGCATAGGACCAGGTATCCCATTGTGCAGTGAGACTTTCACCATTCATTGTTTACTACTCTACTTTCTTTTTTTGACTCAAATCAATGGCTTGAAACTAAGCATCTTTGTTTATCTTGATTTAAATTAGAATCATGGAATCCATTGTCTTCTCTCTTCCTTTGTCCATGACGTTGACACAAAGGCCTTTCATGCATTGTATAAGTGCATGCCAAACTGCATCATCCTTCCCTCCCATCTTTTCTACCTCTCAATCAGATCACAAGTCTTTACATATACATCACTCCAATCATCCCATTGACCTTACCAGGTGTGTTCTCACACAGCCATCTACAATGGGAATTCCAACACGAGGAGAAAAGAACAGAATTGCTAAGCGCAAGTTCACACCAAGAAAAACCTGGACAGAAGCTGTCAAGGGAAAGATTGTACAGTTCTTCACTTCCAAGCCACTCATATACGGTCCATTTGCTGATAAACTCAAGTCGCCGCAAAGTGCCGCTCTACAGGATGCGCTCCAATGCACTCAATGCCGAGATCTGCATATTATTCCATATATGATGAGCGCGGATATTGCTTCAGGCTCGTATATCACATCCGAATACCCACCTTTCTTCGCCAGCAAAATTGCATCGGATGATTGTATATCTCCCCTGGACACAAACATGGTAGCCCACCAAAATAACGATGAGACATTTTGGGAAGACATTACTCCAACCCAGCAACAGCGCTACTACGACAAGATCGATACCATTCTCAAGAAGGCAGAGGCCGAGTCAGGCAAGCCAACAGATGAAGCCACCGTTCTTTTCGCCCACTACCAAGTGGACTTTCACATCCGCCAACACTACCTTGCCCCCCGAAGTATCCTGAACCTATGCCGCTCAAAGGATGATATTCGAGCGCTGACCCACTGGCAATGGAAGAGCGCTGTATCAGATGAGACAGCCTTTGCAGAATGCGCCGACTGGGGCGTAGGATGGGTGCATGAGCCGAGCAATTCTATCGGCCAGCAGATTGCGGCTTGGCGTATGGGGGAACGAAGGCGAGAGAAGCATCTCGCGGAAGTGCAGGCCCGGTGGGCTGAGATCAGAGATGAGCGACAAAAACAGAGGACGAGGACAATCAACATTTTGTTCCAGGGTGCGCATGTTAGGACTTACAAGTATGAGCCATGCGGACCGTGTCTGACAGAGGAGGAGATTGTGGATATTACAAGGGAAAGGGGTGAGCATTATGAAGCCTTTTGGAAGTTATATGACGAGTGAGGGACTCATTGAATGCTATTATATACGTATTGGGTTGTTTATCTAAAGAAAATACATAATCGGACCAAACGATCATTTGTGCCTCCTCAGTGGCATCTTTCCAAGGGTCTTTTTTAGATGGATGTTGAAGCTTTTTCTGTGTGATTTTATGACCTTTCAATTCATGCAATTACAGCCAGAGAGGAATCAGAAATATGTACATGGAAATGCATTGGATATTCGCTAAGTATGTTTATTCTGTCTCTTCAAATTCGAACTAAGCAAGTGGCGGTCTACCAAGCAAAAAATCAAATAGAAAATCTATCTGAAAGACAAGGAGGCAGTTTGAAGCGCACTCGCCCACAATCCAGGGAACGGGCGTCTCCATGCCAATGTTGTTGACCGTCTCCAGAGCAGGCATACCCACCAACTGCCTCACTTAGCCTATATCTGAGGGACATTTCCACTGGCGCTGTTTCCTCGTCCGTAAAACTCCAAAGCTGCGAGTATTGTAAGACTATCTCCTTTCCGTCATACGAGGCTTGAATAATCCTCCCTAGCTTTTCGCCCATGAAGGACAAGACTAGAACCTATATAAATGTTAGTTATCATTAACCTGCAGAATCCGTGAACACCCACAGGATGAAACTGGCATTCGATGAATGGTTTATGATTTACTCGACGGAGAAGGGTAGAAACGATCGCTTTCAGCTTGTGTATAGTGATTCCCCGATTTGTATTGGTGGGACGAACATTAGAGATACATGTCATGACCATATGTGGCTTGCGAGGGCGATCGATGTATCGATATTGATTCATCACTCGCCACCATTTTCGAAGCGGATCATTTAGACTGTTCATGAAAGGAGGATCACCTTTTTTGTAATGTGGGCTATGTGTTGTCAGTTTCATCTTGAAGTGTAGAAGCATATAGAATTGCTTGCAGCCTACTTGCCTCCAATATTCCTGCTTTCGGAGGGGTTCAAGAATGAAGAAACGGGATGGTCCTTGCCTTGGTATTGTCATATGGCAGTCGATGATCCTCTCTATCTGCCTGGCTTGGGCCAACGCATCATTCACTAATTCATACCTATTAATGTCATACCGATGCAGATTCGCAAATGTTGGAGCGACTTCAGGTGAGTAGTTCATGTCAGAATCGTTCATGATATCTTGTATGCTAGGAATAGGAGACAGTCTTAGAAATTCTTCCTGTTCTTGCACGTCAGGCCGAGGAGGATAGAGTTGAAGGAGTCTATCAGGGTGTGGCTGAAAGAAGGACGGGCTAAATTGGAGAGTTCCGCATTTCTCTGGGTCCAAGGGCACTTCAAATGCTTGGATTATTCAGGAGAAGGGAAGTCAGGCTCAAAGTATTCAATGCACCGAAATAAAGACCTGAGAAATTTATGAGGCTGAGGCTGTATTTCGGGCATGTTGACGAAGTGGAGTGGAGTGAGGGGTTTGAAGAAGTAATAGACCGAAGGAATGATGAGAATGTAGAAGGTCTTCCAAGGTTGAATGTTAAGGGGATTGTACCACCGACCCCCCTTGGCCGTTCCGATTCCCCTTTGGCTAATTCGAACCCCGCCAGGGATTTTAGCATCAGCTATTTCTGCCATTTCTTGAATTTTCTGCAGGTTTGAATTCTTGTTTATATAGTAAACAAAATGCATCACTCTACTCACAATTTATGCATCTTCTTTCAATTTGAATGCTCAAGGTCTACAAGCTATAAAAATATAAGAAGTCTCCATTAACTTATTGCGATGCGTCGCATCACGTGATACATCACGTGCAAAGAGAGAAGAGTAAATAAGATGTCAAGAATGGGATATGGCCCCTCTAGGCCCTAAACAAGAACCTTGGTTTTTGTTATGGTCTAGTGGTAAATTACGCTGTACGAAATTCAACATAAGATATAGAGAAGAAGTAAGTAGGAAGTAGCCTAAGTATATAGTCGACCCTTTACAAACGTCGCAAGCTTTGAGCCTTCTCGCTTAGCAGTCTAGCAAGTATACAAACAGCAATAAGTAAATATGCAAATCGTAGGAAAAGCGGTCAGGAAAGCGATGGCCGTTTATAGTAGGCGGTCAGTCTATACCCGAATTATCAGGCAGGTCGGATTGGCCAAAGGGGGGTCGGAACGGCCAAGGGGAGGGGCGGTCGATGGTACAATCCCCTATGTCTATTTTGTCCTGATTAATATGGTGTGCCAGGGCGTACAACATAGTTGAGGGAGATCTGCGAAACCCGGAATCCTCAAATAGTGGCCTTATTTTTCGAGCAGGGAGAAAATCTCGGAGCCTTCATGTCAGGTAGAATCCTAGAGGAGAGAAGATAGACCATGCACCACTCACGGAATGGAAAGGAGTTTACAAGATGTTGTTGCATTAGGATATAAGGATGTTTACTAATACTTGCTAGCTGACCTCCTAGGATGGTTGGTGTTGCTGTGTCGCTCTCGTCTTGTCTGTTAGGCCTGACTGCCCATCGTGCATATCCCTCTTCGGTATCTATATTTCTGTCTCTACGGTCAGGAAATGCGTCAAGGCCCCAAAGGGCTGGCCAATGGCCAAGTTGCATTCATCAGGGCCTAAGCCCACAGGATAAAAAAAAATACAAAACACAAACAAAAAACACCTTCTTCTTCTATTTCTTATTCAGCCCTCTGCTTCCCCTTGTCCTCAGGGGCAGCAGGGCCAGCGGGGGCAGCAGCTGTCTGGTCTAATTCATTAGCACTTCCATTGACACGGTCAACGCAGCAATAAGCAGAATGATGTAACAGGCTCACGACAGACAGGCTTCCACGCAGACAGGCTTCCACGCAGACAGGCTTCCACGCAGACAGCTTCCACGCAGACAGGCTTCCACGCAGACAGGCTTCCACGCAGACAGGCTTCCACGCAGACAGACTTCCACAAGACAGGTTTTCATGCAGACAGGCTTCCACGCAGGCAGGCTTCGACATAAAGGACTAGGGCATAGTGGGCGTCCATTCTGGAGGTGGAGGCATAATAATGCAATGTACTGAAGGGAGAGATGGAGGATGCGGCTTACCGATGGAGCGGGTGGGCGCGCAGGGCCTGATATATAGTAATCAGTATTAGCTCCTGATAGGTGAATATGACCAAGTCTTTTGCTCAAGGATCAACTCACTCTCTTGGCTAGAGGCCGGAGCCTCTGCCTCCTGCTGGAGGTCTTTGGTAGTGACGGGGGCAGAGCCTGGTTGAGACTAATGAGCATATGGTCCTGTATGATGAATTTGACTGGAGGTTTTGAATAAGAAATGGCTTACCCACACCTCCAGAGGCCGAGGCCTCTCCTTCAGGAGCCGCTAAATAGACGGCTTCAGTCAGCGCTGTGTTCGCTCATATTGAAGAACCACCGAATATATAATGCGTACCTTTTCTCGCAGCTTGGCGGGCTATTGATGATCGTTAGCTTCCTTCTGGACTCATAAAGTAACAAGACATACCCTTTTGGCCCGCGCGGTTGCTCTTGGTGCCGCGGCGGCGGCGCTCTGACTTGCCCTTCTCGGGCTCGTCACGGTTGGCCTCTTGGGTCAAGCGCTTGTTCTGTACCAGAAGCTCCAAATCAATATGATTCATTGGATAGCAACCAGGAATAATCTTACTGGGAGCGGGGGAGGGCAGGGCTGGAAGGCCCGACGGAGACAGACGCCCATACTTGCGAGCCAGTTGCAATTCTCCACAGTGTGGTCACTGCGTCTGCAGTGCGTGCAGAAAAGCTACATCATCTATCAGCGTATATTCCAACGATTTATCAATACGTGGGAGTGCTCAGAAGGTTCATGGTCATAGAATTCCGATTGTATTTGGAGCTGGGATGAGGAGAGGCAATTGTTCTACACTTACTCGGCGAGGAGGAGGAGGAGGAGGAGCTCCTGTCATGCTGGCGAGAGGTGTTGGTATATATTTTTTAAAACAAAAATAGGGGCGAGCGAAAAAAGGCTCGCAGAGTAGAGTTGGAGTGATTATAAGGACAAGTTACTTTTGTGGGGAGTTACTGCTTTTATGTTCTAAGGACTTCACTATTTGAGAAGGAACGAGTGACACCCAGGCTCCTTCCCAAAGAATATAATTGTTGCCTGAGGTTACCTCTCCATACTGACTGTGCCCGTCTCTGGGATTTCCTCCACGATGACATTCCCAGAGGCGAGATCAGCGTGATAAAAAAAAGTGTTTTGTTTGTAAGACATACCCTTTTGGCCCTTGGGCCTTGCGATTGCCTTTGCTGCCACGGCAGTGGCGCTTCGATTTGCCCTTCTCGGGCTTGTCGCGGCTGGCCTCTTTGGCCAGCCGCTTGTTCAGTACCAACGAAGCTCCAAATCAACATGATTCATTGAATAGCACTCAGGCATAATCTTCCAGTGCGCGCGGGAAGCCTGTGTGACGTGCCAGATCTTGCAAAGGAAGCAGAGTGCATTCTATTCAGAATAGACTAAGATGGAGAGAAAGAAGAAGCAAGTTGCAAAGTGGGAAGCAGCCAGTTATTATAGCTGCCACTTTGCAAACGTTGCAAGCAACCAACCTTCTCGCTTAGCTACTAACAAACAATCTATGGAATGAAAATTTAGTAAACTATGCAAACAATAAGCGAGCAAACATGAAGCATATGAGGATAACGATCTATGTGGATCGAGACATAACCCCCGCGAAAAAAAATCCATTTAGTCCCTAGATGATGCTGAAAGACTAGCAGTGGTCGTTCTGGTTGACATTGGCATTCGAAGAAGTTGGCGTGCTCGAATGCAGAGAGAAAGAATAATCGTCAGGGGGTTGAAAAAAATTTGAAGAACTTCAGGTAGTGTATGTGGAAGACCAATGTTGAGAAAGTTAAAGAAGACTTTTCGAAGTGAAGTTGTACGCGGCGCGTAGATCAGTGTCCTGCTTATTCGAAAGAGAGACGATCTCATTGAATCTTGTTATAGTTGTCGTACACCCGCGAAGTTGATCAAGAATTGTATTGTTGTATTGTGTGTATGTTGGAATCATTGTGCGAAGGAGCTGGCGAGATTGGGAGATTGACGTAGTAGAACTGAGCTATTGAATCTCGGAAGGCTGATCTTGCACGAATGGCGTACGTTGTCGGTTGACCGGTAAACCGACTCTGGATCTGGGAGGAGATCTTGGGATGTTTTGGCGGTATGGAAATGAAGAAGGTATGTTGGTGTTGAACCTGATATTGAATGTTGAAAGGTTTGAATGTGGACTAGAGCTGCTGAATCTCACTATAAATGTTGACGAAAGTAGTAGCGAATTCAGCGCGAAGCTCTGAACGATATTGCTGTTGGTGATTTATTTTGACGAAGATCGAGAAGAGGTAGCGAGGTTGAAAAATTGCACTGGAACCGTTGCCTGGAAGTTTCGAAAGAAGAAGAAAAGGTGGATTCAAGATCAAGAAAGAAAAGAAAAGAAAAAACCAGGGTTCTGGTAGAAGGGTCCGAACAGTCTCTCGCGCGGCTTACTGTAACGTCCCGGAGCAAACAAACATGAAGCATACGATGATAACGATCCATGTGGGTCGTGACAGCCCGAGCTGGGATGCCCGGCGCAGGCAGACGCCCATACTAGCAAGTCAGTAGTGATCACTGCGACGGCAGTGCGTACTGAAAAGCTAGATCATGTATTAGCGTATATTCCAACGATGCATCAATACGTGCATTGTATTTAGAGCTGGGATGAGGAGAGGTAATTGTTTAACACTTACTCGAGGAGGAGGAGGAGGAGGATGGAGGGGCATTCGCCATGCTGGCGAATGAGCGTAGGACTAGGTGTTTTCTTTTTTTAAGAAAACACTGGGAGTGAGCGAAAGAAAACCTTGCAGAAACAGAGTAGAGGGGTGATTACAAGGATAGGTTGGTTTTGGTGGATGTCCCTGCTTTCATATGCCAAGTACTTCACTATGAGTGGGAACGACAGGTCAATCTCTAAGATGATGAGACCTCTATGTCTACCTATATAAGAAGCTTGTCGATTTCGCCAAGACTCCTGGCATTGATCTATGTTTATACAGGAACTCAGTGGCAGTAGTTTAAAGAAAAGCTACATTCTAGTCAGCGTAGAATAGCATCAAGTCATCGCGAGTGTCAACCAAGCAATAACAAAATAGATATTTCAAGGATTATTTGTTATAATAACTTACCATAGAAGGTATGCCGACCTCTCCAAGTGAGCCTACAACATATATGCTCACGTGCAGTATAATCTTGCCACATGGAAGACCTAATTTAGACTAGCAACGGCTGAGACGAAAGCAGCCCGAGTCCAACCCGGGGTTGATCTGCTATGAGGCATTATTGGTCTGCAGTGCATGGTATTCGGGAAGTCAAAGAGGATTTAACAATTGAATTCGCCCAAATGCTCCTGCTTTACTGGCCCTTACCTACAGTACTTCTCCCATTCCCCATACTTTCGCCATTTCTTTCAACCAACGGCCCATAACGACGATCAATCTTCGGTGTGATGACATTGGTTCAAAGGATTTCAGGCCTAGAACATCACCATGCTGCGTTCCCCGCGAAAAATACCAGACGGACCCGAGATCTTCCCATTCAGTTACCTTTTTAGGACCAATCCCCAAACTCGAGCAACCTTACCCCACCAAATCCAGAGACTGATGCGGGCGAACAACGAAAGTAATGTGTTCCAAGGCTCATGAACTTTTGATACCGTGGGAAAAGGAGGGGAAAACACGCCAGGTACAGATCTTCCGGTTGTGGCTGGCCCCTCTTGGCTCATTACAAGGGTATCATTTGTGATCCATTCGGAACGCTCACAAGGCTCCGGTCTTGGGGAGGTCACAAGCAATTAGCCCGTGTACTATTGTAGTACTATCCGACATATAGGAACCCTTGGAATTCTCCATATATCCTCGATGATTGGCACAATGTCCTCCCACAAGCCCCCGGTTTTTTTTTTGAGAGGCGCTGCGCCACCAATGAAACCCAAACCATGACTAATCCTTGCCATTTCGTCACTCTCATCCACGGGGTGGACTGCGTGAAACCTGACCTGAGAGACGCAGATCGGGATTTGTGACGTGGGGATTCAAGATTCTGCACGGCGAACAAGGGGGTATAAAGGGGCCTTTGCTAGCTACGAGATTGACGGGATCTTCCAGGTACATTCGGGTCCGACTAAAGAGGCAGTCCGTGTCCGTGGTATCCTGGTCGTCTGATCAGATGGAAAGACACATGTGTTTCGGTTCAAATGTACCCTTTATGTATATACAATCTGTGTATACGGAGTACCACATCATTATTATCCCCATTCTCCTTTGACCGGGAAGCCGTAACATATGACGTAACGCCGCCGACCTATTAGGGTTTCCCCGAATCACCGGCCCGTGAAAGAGAAGGGGATTCCATACAAATATTATACCGATGGAAATTGATAGTAGAAACCAAATCCAAGTACTTTATATGTCCCAAGGTCACTAAGATATATGTAATGAAGGATAATGACGAAGAAAAAAACTTCCCCCTCAAAACGAGGGGAACGACATCCACTGACCCACCGCTGCGGATGAGAAAGTGGGTTGAGCCTTTGGGAATTTATAACGTCGTCAGGTCCTAAACCTGTTACCCAATCCCTGCTCCTCTTTCTCTCTTCCTTTTTGATCTTCCCCTCCATCTTCAAATCTTACCTATCTTATAACCCCCCACCCCCTACTACCTCCATTTTGAATAACCTGAATAATTATGTCCACCAAGGTTTTGCTCGTTGGAGCAGCGGGTGAAACCGGAGGCTCTATCGCCAACGGGCTGTTGGATACCGGTAACTTTGTAAGCTCAGCTTCCAGGGCTGTCAATTGACCCCAGACTAATTGTTTGATTTTTCGCTACACAGGAGGTCATCGCTCTTGTTCGCCCTATCTCGGCCCAAAAGCCAGCTATCACGCGCCTCCAGGACCGCGGATGCCAGATTAGAAAATGCGACTTGAAGGCCCCAGAGGAGCAGCTCATCGAGGCCTTGGCTGGTATTGATGTGGTGATCAGCTGCGTCGGTCCTGCCGAACAACAGGATCAGATTCCTCTCGCCAAAGCAGCTAAAAAGACCGGTGTGAAGCGATTCGTGCCATGTGGTTTCATCACCGTTTGCCCACCGGGCGGTATCATGTGGTTGCGTGATGAGGTATGAGGAATGTGCCACGGTACTTTGGTCAGTGGACTGACCAGGCTTTTACTACGCATAGAAAGAAATCGTCTACAACCAGATCCGCCAGTTATGGCTTCCCTACACCGTCGTTGACGTCGGCTGGTGGTACCAGCTCGCCTACCCCCGCCTCCCCTCCGGGCGCGTCGACTACGCCATGACATCCGGCAACGATGAGATTATTGGTGATGGCAACATGCCCACAGCACTGACCGACTTGCGAGACATCGGTCGCTACATGGCGATGATCATTTCCGACCCCCGCACTTTGAACAAGAAGATCCTCGCCTACAACCTAGTATCCTCGCAAAATAAGATCTACGAGCTCATGGAGGAACTGAGCGAGGAGAAGATCGACCGAAACTACGTAAGTCGCACAGACGCTCGGCTCCGAATCAAGTCAATGTGGCTAACCGATTTTTTCTTTTTCCGGAGCACAGGTTCCCGAAGAAACCATCTGCAGCAGAGTCGTGGCAGCCCGACAAGCCAGTGAAACCTACCCCTTCGACCCAATCAAGTTCATTCCGCGATACCTGGCTGAATATCAACTGTCGTGGGGAATCCGCGGCGACAACAACCCCGAGTACGCCAAGTATCTCGGCTACCACACCACACAGGACCTGTACCCCGATTTCCAACCGACAGATTTCCGCGAGTATCTTGAGTCCGTCATTCGTGGCTCGGCTAAGGGAGTCTACACCGATCGTGTGATCTCACGGAAGCACCAACGACACTTCCCGCGTACCGAGTCCAGCGATTCCCTCTACACGCGCATATTCCCTCGCACGGAGTCGAGCGACTCGCTCATGTCGCGATGAATTTATGAATAGGAACCATTTTTACGTATCTTGCGTTACCTCTCCAACTCACCCAGGGACTGTTCCAGACAAACGCCGGCCCGGAACCGCTGCCATTGGGGAATATTTGACAAGACTTTTATGACCTCACTCTTCTCCCCCTCTGGCCCCATTCGACGGGGTCATGGAATTCAGTATGCAACCGACTGGTGCTTTTTTTTCTGGGGTGTCGACACCCTTTTGGGCGTTTGTGATTTTATGGCCTTTTGATAGACGCTGGCTACTTTCGATGCCTCCTCGATGGCTTGGTGGCAGTCCTCAAGAGCTGGCATATGGAATGCTTCTATTTTTTGTTTATGCCATTCAATTTCGATTGTCCCATGAAGGGATTTCTGCATATAGAAAATATATCCCAATCCTGATCCCAATCAGTTGTGCCTCGTTCTTTCCCATACTTGCACTTGCATCATCACTATCCTCCTAGCTCCCCGGGGGTCTTGTCTGGGCTGTCCACTCGATCTCTGATCTTTGATTCACGTTTTTGGTACCTAACTCATTTGCTTTACCTAACCTTAACAGCCAGGGATTCATACATCGTTTTTTTAAAATATACTATAGGAGATGTTTCCGCGACGCCGACCGGGTTCGCGATCCTCTGCCTGCGAACTCGGACCCATCAGCGTCGAGCCAACGATACCACAAACAATCCCAGAAACTCATCAGATTGAACATGCCCTGGGCTTCACCGATATATACGGGTCATTGACACCCCGTCAAATCAGCATCATCAGTCTGTGTCCCCCACCTCGTACGGGGACCTACGTTCTAACACAGGTTTGCAGCTATTGGATCTGCAATTGGAACGGGCTTGATGGTTGGTACTGGAAGAGCATTGTCTATGTAAGATTGGTTCATTATACCGAGCGGATTTCTTCTATGCTGAACTATGTTGACTCCGACATAGGAGCGGCGTAAGTTCTTCCCAGGAGGCTTACGAACGAAGACATTGGTTTCAATATTGATTTCTCATAGCCGGCAGCTATTATAATCTCCTACACCATCGTCGGACTCGCGGTTTACCTCGTCCTTTCTGCCTTGGGTGAGGTGGGCTCTTGGTTACCAAAACCGTATACGGTTGCAGACCAAGCCGTTCGATTCTGTCATCCTGCACTTGGATTCAGCTTGGGCTGGATGTAAGTCCCCCTTCGCGAGGAGAGTTGCGTCTAATTGATTTATTACTGACCGCGCCCCTAGATTTTGGCTGAAATATGCTGTTGTCACACCGAATCAGCTCACAGCTGCAGCGCTGGTAGTCTCTTATTGGGTGAGTGCGGAGCGAGTCAACCCCGGTATCTGGATTACGGTTTTCCTTTCTGTCATTGTGATTCTCAACTTCATCAATCATCGCCTCCCGAGTAGAATTGAGTTCTATGTCTCTTCCTTCAAGCTTGTCGTCATGCTAGGACTCATGATACTTTCCACTGTCATTGCTCTGGGAGGGGGGCCAGAGCAAGACCGAAAAGGGTTTCGATATTGGTCGTACCATGGTGCTTTCGGCCCTCACCACCATCATCACGCGTTGCTAGAGAAGTTCTACATAACCTGCTCGACGATGTCATCTGCTACGTTTGCGTACATCGGAAGCGAGCGAGCTGGCCTGACTCACTTCCCGAACGTTCGTAAAGCTACCTCGAGGGCCATCCAGAATACTTTCTATCGAATCATGGTTTTCCATCTTCTAGCAATCACCCTTCTCGGCATGATTGTCCCCCAGGACTCGGCGTCTGTGGCATTTTCTAGCGACGCCAACCACGAGGCTGCCGCATCGGCATTTGTTGCAGCTCTGTATTTGGCAGGCATCTCCGTGCTACCGGACTTGCTGAATGCATTCATACTGTTGTTTGTCCTGTCAATCGCAGACTACGATCTCTATCTGGCAACCAAGGCAATGTGCGACCTCGCAGTGAAGCGTCGGGCTCCTGCTTTCCTGTCACGCACTACCCGAAGAGGCGTCCCGATCTACGCTTTGGCGGTGTGCTCGTCAACTGCAACATTGGCGTATCTTAACGTCCGCCAAGACTCAACTGTCGTCTTTGGATACTTCGTGGACATGGTCACTATGCTCGGGCTTCTGACATGGATTTCCATTCTCATCACCCACATATCTTTTGTGCGAGCGCGAAAGGCTCAAGGCATTCCCGACAAAGCTCTAGCCTTTAGAGCTCGCTTCGGTCTGCCTGGAACGTGTTTGGCTCTCATTCTCTGCTTGTTCATCTCCGTCGCCATTGTCTTTGACTCCTTCAGCTTCGATTCGGGCGTTCGGACATTCGACGTCAAATCCTTTATCGCCTCGTACATCAGTATTCCTGTCTACATCATCTTGATGGTTGGCTACAAGCTCGCTGTTCATAGTAAACATGTTGACCCTAAGGAGGCTGACCTATGGACAGATAAGATTGAGCCGGAGATTGAGAGAGGGGAGGGCCCCAGCTGAAGGGAACTGCTTGTCGTGGAAGCCGTTATTCTATAGGTCATTCTGGTTCGTCCTTGGGGATCGAAATTCTTGGTCATTTTTGTTTACCCACGGGAAAAAGCAATTACCATTCGCTATATTCTCCTGAAGGTGTATTCCACACCTACATCTAGGTGCTAACTCCTGCTTCAACTTCCAACAATCCTCAAAATAACGACTCATCCACTATGTAGTATGGCGAACAGCGTCTCACAATTATTAGCCCGTGTGACTGATCTAGAAAGCTGCAAGACATCAGCCACTATGCAGCTATCCTCCCGGATCCTCGACATGTAAAATGTACAATTGTCACAGTGACAGGCCAGGTGGAGACGCTAATAACAGCTACCCGGAGTTGGCGCGGATAAACAGTTCTTCTGCACAGCAACCAGCCGTGGCCTACTCCATGGAGTAGGTTGAACTTCAATGTTGACGAGTCAAGACATTCTACTGATATAAGAACCTCGTCTCCTCAATTCCTCAATCCTCAATTCTGATTCTTGGGAGACTCTGTATAAGAAAACCCGATGCATCTGCGGTTTGTTTACCCCACCATGCAATGCCCTCGCATGAGACTGACAAGAACCCCCAGACGCTGTTGAATCTTGTCATTTCATCTTTTATCTAACACTCCAACACAACGCCGCCAATTTCGTTTCTTTTGAATGGGAGCTCCTGTGCTCTACATTCCGATGAACATGGACTACCATCCCACTACCCCACAACACCAAAAAGAGGATTTCCGCACTTTTATCACCAGACTCAATATCAAATTTAGCCTCGAGATTCCCCTCCCTGGAATTGAGTCCCCTTCGGCGCGGGAGAGAAACACCAGCCTCCCTAGTCAGATCTACAAGCACATCCGCCCGCTATTCTTCAATAACAAGGTTGACAAGAAAAGCCTAATTGACAATCTCGAGGAATGGGTCCGCGGGAACCTGCCGGCCGCCCAGAACCAGAACCAGAACCGGAATCATGTTTATCAAACCCATGCAGGTCGCCGAACCAGCCAACGACACCACAGCGAGGAACCGGCGCCTCCGATCTCGCTCACCGGCCCTGAGAAGGATAGGTGCATGAGGCAGCTACTAGTGCTCATGGAAGATGAGGAATATCTGTTAGCGAATGGCCGTGTCGTAAACACGAAAAAAAGGTTAGCCGCTAATTCTTTTGGAGATGCCAAGGGCTTATCACCAAAAAAAAAAGGTTTGATGATGATGATGAAGACGGGGAGTTCCATACCGCGCCGAGTTCCCCTGTGAAGGGGTCTGTGCTGGCTCAGTCGCCGCTGGGGAAGAATGGGGATGGGAGTTTGCAATTCCCTGAGATGGTGCAGGCTGCCTTTCGAGGGCCGAAGGGGAATTATGGAGCTACGGTCAATAATCGTCTCGTAATTCAATCTCCTGCGTGGGGATCGGGGGGAATTGCATCGCCGACGAAAATTCAAGTTCACCCGTCGCCTACAAAGAAGGATGGACCGATTCAGTCGCCTGGACATAATAAAGAGATTTTTCATTCTCCGGCGAAGTATTCGGGGACTTTTCCTCCGCCAGAAAAGGCGCAACCGGTACAGGCACACCAACCGCTCCCTAAGAGAGTGGCCACTAAACCATCCAAGCCTCAAGGCAATATTCCCGCTCCGAGGAAATCGACGAACACTTTGTCGCCGGCGAAGACTGCAGGGGGTGCGCAACCATCCGCGAAGAACCCAGGATCTGTCCTGTCGCCATCCAAAACCCCTAAAACCCCCAAATCGGTCAAATCACCCTCCCAATCGCCGTTGAAGCAGATGGATCTTCGATCATTTGGGTTTGGCAACAGCCCCAGTAAAAAAACTTCTCCTAACCAGGAAGATATCGAGTTCAAAAGGCCTTCTTTATTTGAAAAGCTTAGCGCGGTATCCGATGAATCGAAGCGCAACAATATGACGGAGTCACCCGCTCCCAGCTTTGCAGCGACTACTTCGTCGGTCTTTATGTCTCGCGATAGTAGCATGATGCAATCATTTGATACTGTCACGACAGAAATGACCGAGCCAATGGATACCCAATCAACCTATGCTGACTCTATTGTCGGGTATATGGCTAGCGAAGAGATGCAAAGGAGCGTGGATGCTGCTGCTATCTCCATGATGGTAGCTGCCGATCCCGCCGAGACGGAGTATGCTCTGAAACAGGAGTTTATTGGTGAGCTGTTGTCCTACGGCCCGTTTTCGGGAGAAGAATCCTTCTCGGCGAAAATCCCATTGCGATTCCGATATGAGCTGGAACGTATCGGACGTGCGTGGGGAATTCCCTTCAAACAGATACTCGTAGGCGACCGTGTTACCTTCAACACTCAAGATGATTTCTGGTCATGGGTCGGCGGGCTTGGTCGACGTTATGGTCGTCCGCTGCCAGAGAAATCGCCGCGTCGGGCCTGGGATGCTGCTGTGGGTGATTTCAAATCAGATAAGCACTCAGAGGTGGTCATACTGTCAGGGGATTTGGACTGGTGTGACGACACCGAGCAGGGTATTTTCAAATTGAGACTCAACCCACTCAAGCCAGAGCGGACGTGTCGGTTCCACCGAAGATTTGGTTCGGATAGATTCCTGACTCTTACCATTCCAGCCGCTGATCGGCCTCCCAGTCATCAGAAACAACCTGCTTACCCGTCTGTCCTTCGCGAGAGCATTGCTACCTGGCTCACGCGGAATGATCATCATTGCCTCGGACGGACGTGGCGGGCTTTCTATGTCGAGGAAATAAAGACCAAGCGAAAAGTCAAGGCCGAGCCTCGGTTCCGGGTCGAGTTCTTCGCCATTGATGGCGACGACTTTGTTCATGGGCTCCGTTTACCACCACTGGTGGCCCCTCCCCGACAGCAAAGTGATAACTATACTCCGATGAGTGTAGACGCTTTGCTGGAATGGCATATGCCCAAGACTGCGAATGCGAATCAGAGCAGCTGCAAGCTCTTCCAGCGTATCTCTCTTGGTTTGTCGAAGACATTTGCGACGGTCAAGTTAAAGCCAACGCAAGTGCTTCGTTTGAGAGACGATCCAACCCGGGCTGTTATGAATGATGGATGTGCTTTGATGTCGAGGACTCTTGCGAATCAAATCTGTGACCAACTGGGCATAACCACCGCCACACCTAGTTGTTTCCAGGGCAGAATAGCAGGCGCCAAGGGCCTTTGGATGGTTGATTCCCACCAATCTAGTATCACTACCGTGAACGATGATGACATCTGGATTCAGATCTCGGACTCGCAGTTGAAAATACATCCTCATCCGCAGGAATGGATTGAAGTGGACGATGAGAAGTTGACCTTCGAAGTAGTCAACTGGGCTAAGCCGTTGCACCCCGTTGACCTTAATATCCAGCTTCTTGCAATTCTAGAATATGGAGGGAACGTGAAGGAGTATATTGCCAAACTCACCCGTGATGGTGTGCAGAGTCTTTACGACGACTTCCTTGAGGTTCTTCGATCAAATAGCCCCGTGGTTTGTCGAGCCCTGCTTCAGAAGCTCAAACCCTCCGGCGAGGACGGAACTGGCAAATCCCGACGATTAGAGCAGTGGGTTTCCAGTGATGCTGAGTCCATTATTCGTTTCTCCGAGGCTGGCTTTGCTCCGCGCGATTTCTTTCCCCTTCGGATGAAGATCCGTAAATTCTTGACATGGCTTCTTGAGCGACATGTCGAAGAACTCAAAATCCAGGTCCCTCTTTCAACCTATGCGTACTGTATTGCGGACCCATATGGAGTTCTTGGGCCGGACGAAGTCCACTTCGGCTTCTCCAATAACTGGCGGGATCCACAGGGCCAGTTTGAAGACAACCTCCTGGATGGGATAGATGTTCTCGTCGGCCGACTTCCAGCCCATTTGCCGTCTGATATTCAACGGCGTAGAGCCGTGTGGAAGACTGAGCTACGTCATTTTAAAGATGTGATTGTCTTTCCCACTACAGGAGATTTCCCTCTAGCCGGTATGCTATCCGGAGGAGATTACGATGGTGATACGCCGTGGATCTGCTGGGATCAAATGATTGTAGAGAGATTCCGCAATTCCCCGATGCCCGAGCATGAATATGCTGCAGAGCATTACGGGCTCACGAAACACTCCGTCCCGATGGCTTCGCTGAACTCGACGGAAGACTTTTTGGAAAGTACGTTCTCTTTCAACCTCAACCTTTCAAACCTAGGCCGATGTACTGTCGAGCATGAGAAACTGGCATACGATGAGTCAGTCGACTCTTCGAGGGCGAAAGAGCTGGCCTGTCTCTTGGGTCATCTTGTGGATGGCCGGAAAGGTGGAGTTCATATTTCAGAGCAAGCCTGGAAAGAATACCGCAAGACCATTAGCCCTAAGCAACGAGCGCTTCCCGCGTATCGGAACCCAGAGCGCAAGTCCAAACCGTCGAACATTGTCGACTTCCTCAAGTTTAACGTCGCACAGTCGGAGCTGCGCAGAATTCTCTCTGGTCTCAACGAAGCGTTCCCCGAGAACGACATCCAAAACCAGCTCGATGATGACCTCGTTCGTCCGTGGGTTGAAGCAGATGAAGCATCGAAGACCAAGTCTGAGCACAGTCAAGAATTAAAAGACGCCCTCGCTGAAGTTCGAGGGGCGATCAACGAACTATACCAGCAGTGGAACCAAGGACACTCTGCTTCTACCGACGAATTCTCTCCCATATCACGTCAAGCTGCCGAGAATGCGAGTGCACTCCCTCCTCCTAAGACGGGCAGACATCCGCTCATCCACGCTTGGCAAAACAGCCCCAATGAGTGGCGACGGTTGGTAGCTTCATGTGCCTACCGTCGATGCCCAAACTCCCGGTTTATCTTCCACGCCTTTGGCGAGACATTGTGCGAAATCAAGGCGTCCGTCTCGCCATCCCGCCTTGTCACTAACGAGGTGATTGCCTGCTACCGAGTGAATCAGAAAATGGTGGCACATATCACGGCCAATGCATTACCTGGGAATGACGCCGATGATGTAGATGAGTATGAAGACGAAGATGCCATTGAAGCCATGCTATCCTTTTAAAAGGGACCGACCAGTCGGCCATTACGATGATGGATTGGAGGACAAACTGTCCATCCAATAAGATACGAGTGACGCCAGCGAATCTGTATTTGATCTGCCCATTTTGATTCTGAGCGATATTTTTTTGCCTGTGACTGTTGAACATCGCATGAGATACCTTGTTGTTTTGCACATGTTGGAGTCGATATCTAGCGTTGTCCCCCGTCAGATGTTGTCTAGACTTAGAATACTTTGAACAAATCATACCATCAGACTTTTGCCTAAATACTCCAAAACACTATCAAGTACTCTATAGAGAAAGTTCATCCTAGTCTCCAAATGTCAATGGCCCCCACATCACATGCCAAGCTCGATATGCCGAACCAGGCCCAACAAATATAAGATTGGGCTTATAAATCCATTGACAGAAGGATTATATCGGTGCTGTGCCCAATAATAAAACACCTAAAGCAGGCTCGTAAGTACATCTCGTACCGGTAGGCCAAAGATCAATAAATTGCCTTCCATGTACTCCGTAGGCATGTGATAGGACGGAGCAAAGTCTTCCGAGACAATGTCTATCTACATTGTACATTGTATGCGTACAACGTACGTAGGAGAGGGAAAAGAGAGGTGAGACCGACATGGTGAACCGAACACGATCCATAACTAGAATTGCAACGTCTGATTCATGGAGGGAAGGTGTCAGGGATCGAGAGCAATCCGAGTTGTTCTCGTATTCGGATTGTCGAGTACATTCTAGCACATGTAGGGATACGAGACATACATTGGCAACGATAAAAATGGAAACATATGAACCTTGGAGGGGTTCTGGTGCCTTGTTTCGGGGACCACGGAGTCTTCTCCGTAGGACATATGTATTTCTTATCGTGTATAATAGTATGCGTTGCGATGGGTGTACATCGTACTTGGTCTGAATAGAAATCCTCTATTGAAACGCCCTACAGGCAGGTGCAGAGTGCGCCCATCGTACGCAGGGCAAATTGTTGGGCACTTCAGACTTTTCATATCAAATCAAGTAAATAATTTTCGGTAAGATTGAAGTTCCAAGAGGGGCGAAAGGAGGCGAGTGTGTTGGGGCAAGGAACACCTGGAGATTTGGCATGTGATGAGGAAAGGTACATGGGCGGCCATAGCGGAATGTATGGCTGAGCAGGTACCGTGGGAATGTGATTACCTCACCTCCAATGTTCCTTCCTAATTGGGCCTAGTGGACAAGTGACGCTTTTTCACGTGAAAGACGATACGATGCGAAACTCCGACGTCTTTGAGGTTCATTGCACTCTCTCTCTATGGACGATCTGTGACCCGCCATGGAACCCCCCCAATCCGCTAGGCCAAAACCACCTGCCCGAAAGAATAACGCCACAGCTCTGACATCGTCCAATTCGCACCCCTCCGCGCATACAAGTAACCTCACTTCATCACTTACGGCTCCACCTTATTATAATGGTCTTCCATCTATGATGGATATCGATAACCCAGAAGACCGGTCTCGTCGAGCTGCCAGTGTATTATCGATGGATGATCTCGAGGCCGCGCAGGCCCTTGAGGGGCTTCGCTCCGGTACGTTGGCTCTGATATCCCCGAACCGGCCCACTAAAAGTGTCGCAACTACGGTTTTCACTGGATTCGGATGGCTGTGCAACCGACATTCAACTAATCTCAACAATAGATTTTGGACAAACGCCTGGAACAACGCGGCAATCCCTCCCCATCACTTCACCGGACCCACCACCGCCAGAGCCACTATTGTCTCTGCTGACTTCCTCCCATCCACTTATCTCCTCTGCTATCAACGGCTCAGTTTCTGCCTACGCCACGTCGAAATCATATTCACCGCGATTCAAGTCCGGTGCTGAGTTCATCGAGCGCAACATCGGATCACCTGTCGCGAACACCGTCGGTACGGTAGGCCGCAAAACTGGTGTCGAGAGCGGTCTCCGTTGGGCGCTACAGCGACGAGATTCTACAGGCGAAAATTCACACACTAAAAAGCGACGAAAGATGGATGAGGGTGTGTCGCCGAGAACGATGAATGCGGAGAAGGGACACCCACCGCGTACACGGAGCTCGTCCGATCTCTCCATGGCCGAGTCGCTCCCCCCGTACGACGAAATGAGGTCTCCTCACTACGAAGAGAAACCAAGAAGACGTACTGAACCGACATGGCAAAGCCGACTAGTTATTTCGACCTCTGGACTCGGAGTCGCCATGAGCGAGGAATCGCTACGTAGCCTGCAATATTGTCTGACTTGGCTTCGATGGGCAAACGGTCGACTAGGCAAGTCCATTGTAGCACTACATGGTGCTGTCAACGAGTGGGAAACCCAAAAAGCACGATCACAGTCGGATATCGAGGCAGGAGGCAATGGCCAAGAAAATGCCTCGTTACTCATCCAGCGCATTCAGGCTGTCAAGGCCGATGTGTTATCTACCTTGAAACAGGTAGTGGATGTGGTTTCCAAGTATGCAGGAGGTGCTCTGCCAGAGAATGCCCGCCATCTAGTGCGTCGACACCTGACGTCTCTGCCGCACCGCTTCCAGGTTGCATCCACATCGCAGCCACCACCAGACTCCCCAGCTGCCTCCTCCGATGCCACAATTAGTGCTCATCGCATCCTGGTGCTGGCCCAAGAGGGTCTAGACATGATGGCGCAAGTCAGCGGCGTCGTCAATGACACATTGGTCAGTGCTGAGCACTGGTGCGAGCGGCTTGGCCGGAAACGACCCGAGAACGGAGCTTCATCCATGCCAGAGAAGCAGGACGAGTCTGCTTCCGACGCTCAGCCGTATGGCATGGATGTCAAGGAGTCTCTCCCAGAGAATGCGATTCAGGACGACGTCCCGATGTCTGGGATGGCAAAGGTATGACGTTGTCCAGGAGCTTCCTCTCGTCTCTTTACATATTCATAATTTCTGTCACTTCCTGCCTCTTATCTCGGCGGTTCTCTTAGTTCTCTCTTGTCTGGGGTCTTCTTTTCTTTTTTTTTTCTCATGATTGATATCCTTTCTGCTATCTTCATTCCATCTGGAGTGATAGGAAAACCCCTGGAAACTATGGTGTTTGTTTGTTTAAGCGTGCGATCATTGTCTATCCTACTATTATAGTTATGGATGTTGGTTTTCGGTATAGATATGCGCAAGAGGCTGCGCGCTCAAGCTGAATGAATGCAGGCTATTCATCGATTTACACTTTAGATTTTCAGAAGATCGTGTAAGCGATCTAAATCGCCGGAGCCTGCTAAACACATGTTTTCTGGCTATATCGGCCCGGACCTGTCAACATACTCAAAAAGGCCGTCAATCACATGGGCCGCTATGTTTGCCTTTTCGTTCTAGATCGATATCATTTCAAGCTTATCCACACTGGGCTCTTCGAGCGGGCCACCCCATCATAATGGCTTCAAGACCACAAATACCCTCCGAGGAAACACCAAGATACCTGCTAATAGTCAGGCCACGTTTCACTGTTGACATAAAATGTGTCATAGGTGCTGCTGAAGCCATTGAACTGGGTAGCAGTGGTACTTGTATATGCTGGAACTCAGTCAGTTCTGAAACTACAGACCAATATAATATGGCAATACTCACCTCCCATGTTTTTATATTTGAGCCAATCTCCAACCTTGACTTCAGAATCAAGCGTCACCTCGCGCACAACACAATCGGTGCTGTCACATGTCGGTCCCCAGATCGAGTACCGATGGGGGTCTGTTACTTGCAAAGCATCCCCTGATTTGGGTTTATGCAAGAACCCCCTGGCTTTCTTACTGACCAAATAAGGAACCATGATCTCTTTCTCCATAATCACATTCATGAAATTTCCATATATGCCATCATTTTGATAAAGCATATCTGGAACACCAGATCGAGCAGCACTTCCAAGCTGACGGCGACGTGAAATCACTCGACATACAAGAGTATACACACTACGAGCGAAAAACCGACCTGGCTCTGCGATCGTTGTGATACCAGCTGGGAACTCCGACCGAATTGCGTCTCGGATAATAGGCGCCATAGACTCGAAGCAATCGTCTTGAAAGCCGCCGCCGATATCGAGAATTTTGGGGTGAAAACCTAGACGTTCAGCTTGTGAAAACGCCAGACGTGCATCTTTGATGCCCTTGCAAAATGACGCTGGGTTGGTAGCACCCGTCCCTAATAGTTCGGATGGTCAATACATCTGACCAACTAAGAAATCCGAAGTACCCCGGTGCTTACCAACGTGAAAGCTCACACCAATCACATTCAATCCAAGCTCCCAAGCTCTTGAAAGTAGCTCCTCGGTCGTATCCAACTGCGCACCAAACTTTTCGCCCAGACAAATGAACGCACCCTCGTCATTCGCATAGATCCGAAGCAAAAGCTGAGCTTCCGGCATGTGTGCCTTGATGGTATCCAATTCGTCGATATTGTCAAATGTTGTCCGCAAGACACCTACCTCGCGTGCGAAAGATACAGCGGCGGGTGCTTTGCAGGGATTGGCGAACAGAATCCGGGCTGGATCTACGCCGAGGCTGAGAACTGCGCGCATCTCTTCAATGGAGGCGCAGTCGAACCCCGTCCCCAGTTCTGCGAGGATTTTGAGGAAGGTTGGGTCGCAATTGCATTTGACCGCTATGGAAGATGTTACTTTTCTATTCCAAAAATAGGAACGGACTAGAAGAGGGGTGTTGTACCGTAATACGGTCGGATTCCGGGCATGTTCTGGGTCCAACGACGATGCTGTCGAAGTACCTGGCCCAAATCGGCGATGAAAAATGATTCGTCACCGCCAACGAGAGAGCGTTTGACTATACGCGCAATGTGACTCTCGATTGCGAGGTCGACTAGCTCGTCTGGTGGGAGATTTCGATATCCGGTTGCATGTATAACTTTGCTAGTGAGCGCAGCTTCACTGACAGCAGGGAGAAGGGCCATGACTGTGGAGAGGAGTCGATCGAGAAGAACTGGGGAAAACGGAGAGTTCTGTAACTGAAACAGCATTACAAGACATG